TAGCCTGCCTGAACTGAAACTTTGCAGTTTGCAGAAGCGAGTTCGGCAGAACTGAGCAGATTAACTAGACTGATAACAACCTAGCTTGAAGAGCGGGAGCTTCCAGGTTATAGAACCTTATAAATGTAGACGGAGAGGCCCAGCCTGCCGCCATACAGATATCTTGAAGAGAAATCCCACTGGACCAGGCCCACGAAGAGGCCATGCCTCTAGTGGAATGAGCTCTGACACCCAGAGGGCAACGACGGCCCTTAGATGTATAAGCCAGTGAGATAGCATCTACTATCCACCTGGAAAGGCAGGTAGACCTTTAGTGCGGACACCAAAAGAAACAAAGAGCTGTTCTGACTGTCTGAAAGCAGCCGAACGTGGAATTACAGCCGAACGTGGAATTACGGGAACCTGGGGGGGTTCATCCTTCTAGCTCCCCTAAGTAAGCGGACTACAAGGTCGTTCCTACCCAGTGACTGGCCGTGCGAATGTTTGACAAACGCAGCAATAGCCGCCACATATACCTTGAGCGTGGATGGGAATCTGCCCTTATCCAAAAGCTCCTGTAGGAAGGAGAGAACCTCTGATACCCCACAATCTTGTGGATCCAGGTTGCGAGCTGAGCACCAACCTGAGAACACTGACCACTTGGTCACTTTATACTTAGCCGTCTAGTAGATGCCCTGCCGATTTATGTAGGAAACCACCGACATGTTGTCCGTGCGGACAAGGCAGGGGCGCAGATGGCACTAGGGACGGGGGGGACATGACCCCCCCAGATTCATAGTGACCCGATCCGTCCCCCGCCCTCACTATCCCTACGAAAGGCGACAAAAATCGGTAAAACAGAGGATTAACCAGTGTTTCCGCAAGCCAAAGTAGTGTCCCGGCCCGCCGCTGCTTCAGAATCGGTAATAATAATCTACACCGGTCACCATTACTTTGTACCCACATTCTCACTACATGCTGTTCTGTTGTCAATAAACGCACAATAACATCATGCCACCGACGTTTACACGCTCTCTCTCTGTGTGTGTGCTACGACGACTCCTGAGTGACGTCGCCGGGGTCCTATGAGGAGCTGGTAGCTGCCTCAATCGTGCCTGTAGGAGCGGACTGGTAACCATAGTGATCATATACCATCTATGACTGAGCTGAGTCGGTGATTTTCTGAACTGAACAAAGTCGACTGTATAAATGCCACATAAAGGCAATGAAGAGACAAAAAACAATCACCTCGTTTTTTCAAAAACCAAACAATGTAAGTATCCTATGCCTGTTGACTTTCCCAGATGTGGCAGATTAGATTTGTTAAGGGGAATAGCTAGTCTGACAATAAGGCCTTTGCACTTAGTAAACACAGCAAAATGTGGAGACCATAACCAGGGCCGTCGCTAGTGGGGTGAAAGGTGGTGACAATTATAGGGGCCCCCGCTGCCCAGGGGGCCCCACAAAATCCAGCAGTTATACTATTTAGGCCCCTGTAGTATGAATAATTCTAATATTTATATTAGTTGTATGCCTGAGATTTAAATGAAAACCACAAAAACGTGCAATTTGGGTAAATATTTTTCCAAATATCTGCTTCTCTTACCTCCATAAAAATGGTTTAGTCCGACCTAAAGTATTTATTAATTATTCAGTCAGAGTCAGTGACAAACATCAGATGGACCCAATAAAATTGTAAGTCCCACCCCAGCTCGTGAACAGAACCAATCAGAGTTGAGGCGGCAGCCTGAAGTTAACGATGAACTTGGTGGAAGAGCAGGAGACTGACTGAAAAATGTCGGGGAAAAGAAAACATAAATCAGGGAACCAGAAATGCCAGGAAAAGACGGAGAGGGAGGCAAGGAGAGTGGTTGTATCCCAGTCGATCAAGACGTTCTTAAAGACCGGTTATATATTGTTATTTTTCGCTGGGAATTAGAAAACTTCCGTCTACAGTCTGCCCTGTACAGTCATTTTTTATTATCGGTGCGCGCCGCAATCGACCGAATGATTACGTGGTCTAAATTCCTGTCTTTTTACACTATTGTATCTAGAGTTTTAAACAAATTACACGAGTCACGACGCATTGGATTATGCATCTGACCTGCCGGCTGATGATATTTAAAACATCGAGAAAACACGAATACAACACACTGCACTTGGATGAATAAATGTATTTGCTTTATTTAATAATATTACCAGTTCCATATTATCTTTATTTAAAAATAAGACAATGAATGGTTTTATTTTTTTTAATTAGACTGCATTCTTGCAAATTTCTAAATGTTTACTTTTTGATTTATGAATTATAACAGACTGATGGGGAAAAAAAATTATTACTTTTTAAAAATTGGTTTTATTATTATTTAACAATTTCTTGCTTTTTTGTTAGTTTTTATTAGTTGTATTTTTTATATAAACATTTAACTTTTAAAATAAAGGTTTTACAACAACATCACCACACTGTAAAAAATTTTCCTGTAAAATAACAGTAAAGAGCTGGCAGCAGAGACGCCACCAGTATACCGTTATTTTTACGGTATTCATACGTAAAATGACTTTACGGTAGTAGTCTGTAAACCAGAAAAACGGTATATTTCTGTATTTCTATAATTTACAGTAAAGAGCTGGCAGCAAAGACGCCAGCAATATACAGTAATGTTACAGTAGTAGTCTGTAAACCAGAATTACAGTATATTTCTGTAGTCACACTGTTAAATGATTTCACAGTCTAATACAGTAAAAAAATAAATGCAGCATATTTCTGTGATTATTTGGAAATTACAATAATATTGTTTAGGTTGTTACTTTAACTTCTCACAGTATACTGTAGACAGGCACAATAGATGATACAATGTCTATAGGTCTGAGAATAATGAAGTTCATTGCAATCAATATTGAATAAATTAATACATTTAGTTAGTTTCTTAAGATATGCATTATTGTGAATATTATGCTAAATAAGCAATACAAACTTCAAAATCAAAAACCTTTATTTCAAAGAGCAATGTCAATATTAACATGAATACAAAAAATGGAAAAAATGAAAATAAACCCTGTTGGACAACACTGAGAAGAGATTTCTAGTAGCAAACAGAAACAGCCTAGTAGTGTCTGCTTTAGACCATGGCAATTAACTTAAAGACTATTTAAGGAACACTCCACTTTTTTTGGAAATAGGCTCATTTTCCAACTCCCCCAGAGTTAAACTGTTAAGTTTTACCGTTTTTGAATCCATTCAGCCGATCTCCGGGTCTGGCGGTAGCACTTTTAGCATAGCTTAGCATTGATCATTGAATCTGATTAGACCGTTAGCATCTCTCTCAAAAAAATGACCAAAGAGTTTCGATATTGTTCCTATTTAAAACTTGACTATTCTGTAGTTACATCGTACACTAAGACAGATGGAAAATGAAAAGTTGCAATTTTCTAGGCCAGGTGTGCCCAACCCTGCTCCTGCCGATCGACTGTCCTGCACAGTTCATCTCCAACCCTAATCAAACACACCTGAAGCAACCAATTAAGGTCTTCAGGCTCACTTGAAAATTAAAAGCAGGTGTGTTTAATTAGGGTTGGAGATAAACTGTGCAGGACAGTCGATCGGCAGGAGCAGGGTTGGGCACCCCTGCTCTAGGCTGATATGGCTAGGAACTATAATCTCTTTCCTGCATAACAATCAAGGAATTTTGCTGCCATACCATGGGTGAGCAGGCACAATGATATTACGCAGTGCCTGAAAATAGTCCCCAGCTATAACTTCCAACGTGACCGGCACTAAGTTTCAATCGTGGCGTAATATCATTGCACCTATGGTACTGCAGAAAAGTTCCTTGATTGTTACGCAGGAAAGAGATTATAGTTCCTAGCCATATCGCCCTAGGAAATCGCAACTTTCCATTTTCCGTCGGTCTTAGTATGAATGAATGAATGAATTGAATGAGGCATTTATATAGCGCTTCCATATGTACTACTGTACACCCAAAGCGCTTTACAATCATATCAGGGGGTCTCTCCTCAACCAGCACCAGTGTGCAGCATCCACTTGGATGATGCGACGGCAGCCACAGTACAACGGCGCCAGTGCGCTCACCACAGACCAGCTATAGTTGGAGAGGAGAGAGAGTGATAGAGCCAATTCAGTGGATGAATTGGCTCTAGTACACAATGTAATTACAGAAGAGTCAAGTTTTAAATAGGAAAAATATCGAAACTCTTTGGTCATTTTTTTGAGAGAGATGCCAACGGTCTAATCAGATTCAATGATCAATGCTAAGCTATGCTAAAATTGCTACCGCCAAACCCGGAGATCGGCTGAATGGATTCAAAAACGGTAAAACTCAACTGATTAACTCTAGGGGAGTTGGAAAATGAGCCTATTTCCAAAAAAAGTGGAGTGTTCCTTTAATACCTTTTTGATTACATGAGTAAGAATATTCAGCATCCAAGCATCTTTGGCACTTTTTTGGGGGGGAATCCCACAGGCACATGTTTTTCCTCTTAAAATAGTCCGATAGAAGTTTAGTTAGATTAAAATTTCCTCAAAAGTCAATTTCAAAGATTTACATATGTAATCTGCAATGTATTCTCTGCTGTCTGTAAAAATATATACTTACATATAACATTTTGAACATACGCAGAATTGGCAACATTTTGAAAACAAACTTAAGAACATTTTGAAAATGTACATTAAGGCCATTTGAAACCATTATAGTACAGTAGAACATTTTGACAATATGCATCATATGCATACATAAAAACATTTAGGGATGAAACTGTAAGGTAGGCACCTGTGCCACTGCGAGCAAGACTTGCAGGTTAACTCTTAAAATTGTCCTGTGAGGTATGGCTTGTATTTTTACCTCTTAAAAGGGTCCTGGTGAGGTAGGCTTGTATTTTTACCTCTTAAAAGGGTCCTGGTGAGGTAGGCTTGTATTTTTACCTCTTAAAAGGGTCCTGGTGAGGTAGGCTTGTATTTTTACCTCTTAAAAGGGTCCTGGTGAGGTAGGCTTGTGTTTTTACCTCTTAAAATAGTCCTGTGAGGTAGGCGTGTGTTTATACGTCTTAGTACTTGTGGATCCAGGAGAGATGACCATCACTTTGGTAGCTGCTACTCCTCTCTGCAGCATTATTCCAGTGTTGCCACTGTCAAACAACAACAAACAATCATTATCATAATAATAAATAAACTGTACAATCAGGAATGTACAGTATCCTGATACACTGCAAGATAATGTTTATAAAGTAATAATATCAGTTCTCTTGTGGCTTAATGTGGCAATGCCAGACTGTCAAAACAAAGAGAGTGAGATTAAAGAGCTCACCGATCTATATGAAGTTCCATTCAAAGTCAAGGAGATTCTTCAGTAGCATGGCGACGTGTGTATTGACTGCAGAAGACTTCTTCTGGACGATCACACCTTTCTTCTTGGAGACAACCTTGCCCCTTTTGACCTTGGTCCCTCTCTCTGGATTTATACCAATGAAGCGCCTAAAATCAAAATAGTCTAAGATCAGAGTGGGGTTGCAACAACATACTGTTTTGTGTACATTAAATTAAATGCAATGTATTGGGTTTTTTTTGTCTTTCTTCAATGCACAAATAGAGTGGACTTGAATGACGTATAGAAGTGACATCAAATGTAATTATGATAAAGCCTTTAGTACAACAAAATTCCCTCTGTGTGTGTGTGTGTGTGTGTTGTGGCTTGAAATGTACAGTACTAATACCATTTTATGCAAACAATACAAACACATTCATTTAATTGTATATATCCATATAATGATGACAAGGAATGAAGGGGTTTTACCTCTGAATGAATTCCAGAGTGCAGGCTGCCTCATCTTGATATTGAAGGTTGAATATGTAGTAGATTGCAAACACAGCAGCAAGTCCTGTTGCAAATGTTGGTGTGATGCCCTCAGAGATTACACGGCCCTCTAAGGTGATCATCCAACCTTTAATTGTGACTTGCCCTGTTGCACCTGAAACTTCAAGTCATAGCAACATGAGAATGCATGTTACCTTGTTTAAACATTTGTAAACTCCAGATGAATGGCCGCTACGATATATGTGTCTATCAATTAATCTAAATGAAATGTATACCAGGCAGTATCAGGCGAGGACTTGCAGGAAGACTGAGAGTTGTCTCAACATCAGCTGCAGTGGCAGCAACCTTTAGGGAACAAATAAATGATACTTACCATAACAAGATTTTTAAGAAGAAAAATTATAAAAAGGTCAATAGTTAGTAAACACTAAGTGAGAGTAACCTAGAGGCAAATGAGATAGGCTTCTGAAGTACCTACAGTCAAACTGCTAAATAGATTTGGCATTCAAAATTTAAAGGGTAACAATTTTATTTGTACAGGTCTTGGGGAGTTCTACTGTAAATGTCTAAAAAGTAGTATAAACCCTTTTGTGGTTCCAGAGGAAACTGCACATAATCTGATAAATTGCCTCAAGTGATGTCACTCAGTGGTCAAGTTGCATTGTGGATAATCTAGGCACCAGCTTTTAAAAAGGAAGAAGAATATTTGGAATTAAAAATGTAATATTTCTGTTTCTGCTGTATTGATTTGATCATTTGCTTTTAAAACGTTCAACAGTGTCATAGTAGGGCAAAGAAGACAAGTGAAATACTTTTTAAAACCTTGCACCTACTTTACCCATAATGCAATTTAGCAACTGTGTGACAACATTGAGGTAATTTATCAGCTTACATGCAGCTTCCTCTGAGCCAAGTGTATATTACAAAATAATATACACTCACTACTGTTTTCACATAATGTAGTAGTACTCCCCAAAACTAGTACACAAATTAGGTGTCTGGACACTTAAGACTGGTGGAGTCACCCTTTAAAACACAGGGTTAGAAAGAAAAAATAAAACTTACATCTGTAAGAAGGATCAGCCCGGTTAGGTCCTCTCCAAAGTGTGCCATGAGCAGCTGAACAACACGAAGTGCCATCTCATTATCTTCACCATTAGAGAGGATATCCTTTACATCTTTGTTGGTAGGTTTTCCCCTGAAGTATTCTGTGATGGCTCTTCCACATTCCTCCATACTGAGTTCCAAGCTACGAAGCACATTGATGTCTGTGAGCAACTCAAAATGTGCGTATATATACCTTGGCGTGAAAAGAAAAGGCCATTTGCTTTTCACATCTTCAATGTCAGGTGGTGGAAGTGTATTTATATGGCGACGTTGTAGAGAGAATGTGAGCTCCATTAGATTTTTAACTTCTGATCTTTCTGCTCCACCTGCACCCTCCTGTCTATAAATCTCCTCCAGTCTCTGGCGGTGCTGCTTCACAGTGTCATCAGTTTCTTCAGGGGGTAGCTCTGGCTGAAATCGTGTACATCCATATGTGTCAGTTGGACCCCTCTTGCCTGTAGAGGATCGGTGGCATGAGAAGCTTCCGTCACGGTTCACATTCTCAATGCGGTTTTTCACTTGAATCAAAAGTGATGTATAACCTCCACACAGAAGTGACCCATCTGGTGCAATATCAGCAAAACTCTTTGGATACTGCCTGATGATATTTCGAACCACAGTTAGGCACTGTGCACGAGTGGGGTTAGCTTCATACCTTCTCATTTCATCCGCGAGTACTCGTACCATCTGGCGTCGCTCCACTGGTTTAGGTCTCTTGCCGTCTGCAATTGCAGAACGAATTTCCTGTGGCATTTGTTCCCAAGGGACCTGGAATGTTTCTGTCCATGTTTTCAGTATCTGAGATGTGGAAGGTCTGTTGCTTGGCTCGCTGTTTCTTGTCTGGCTTGAACATGATGAAATGGCCGACTGCTGTGATGAGCTAGAATTAGGCGGAGTGCATAATGTTGGTGATGAAGACCCAGACACCGATCGATCACTACTCGTCAGTGGTGATGAAGTTGGAATGACTTGAAGATCCAATGTAACTGTCTCGGTTTCTAAAAAACAAACAAAAAAAAAGAATTAGGGCACATAACATATAAGCTATATCAGAGTCACTGCAGAGATTTGGCCAAAAGTCTACTTAACTCTCCTTATTAGGCATATTTGAAAAGTTTAAAAGTGCATTATGTAGATTTAGAACAAAGAAATTCCACAACTGCGTAAACAAGAGAATTTGACAAGAGAATGCCACACTAAATTAACCATACATTACCTAATTTGAATGCATCCAGGAGTTTTCTGCGCTGGATAACAGGTAACAGATCAGCAATGTCTTCCTGTTGTACATATTTTAAGTCTTCTTTTGACTCCAAGCCGGAGCTCTGAAGTTTCGATACTATTTGTAACTGGGTCTCTTCAGACAGATTTGGCAAGGTCTTGCAGATTATCTCTTTGATCTCTTCACTCATGTTCGCCATCATTCTGGAATAGAGGGAAAGAATGGTGAAGAATGATCAGTGGTGTACCATGGAAAGTGTACTCAGGCAAGGGATAGTAATCTAGCAGATTCTCCTGATTAATACAACAGTAGCTTCTCTGCATCAGTGTGAGGCTGTAAATACCCATGTCAGGAATACGCAGGGCATGATACTTTTCAGCAATAAAATATACTGCTGAATCCTTATGAACGAGAATCACTTTGATTTTTCCAGTTACAAGCCCCTCATCATCATCATCAATCACAATGAGCATGTTCTTTTTGTATTTTGTCCCCTTCACAGTCACTTCATTGGCTATCAGAGTGTTTGTGGACTCAAAATTGTGATGTGCAACTGCTTCTATGATTACATCATTGTAGTCATCTGAGAAAAACTGTGTGCCCCTCTCCACTGAAACACCTGGAGGGAAGAAGGTGCCAGCACTCAGAAAGGCCTGCAGAAGCTGATGTCTCTCTGCAAGAGTAGAACATGGATTCTTAAAGTTGCGCAATTTTCTCATACACTGTTTAAAATAGGTGTGTTTGCTCTCGAATCTTAAAGTCCATAGGCGAATAAGTGGCCCAAAGTGGATAATGAGCTCAGGATAATGACTGACATAATGATGTTTGGGCTTCAGTGGGTTGTCAGGAAAGGTTTGTATTCGGCAATGCAAATATTCTTCAATCAGAACTCTTAGGTAGGCTATCTGGCCATTTGAAATTGCAGGTGCACAAATGAGGTCCACAACTTCTCTAAGTTGCAAAACCAACTGCCATACTTTGTTGTCACCTGGGTTTTTTACTTTGTCTCCGATCAAAACGGGCAACATTCTCAGCAAACACCAATTCTGCACAGCATGTCCCCCAAGTTTTACACCCTCTGGATTAACCTCACACGGTTTGTCATTAGCATCCCTACCGAGATACTTGAACTGATTTATTCGTCGATTCAACTCAAGATAGTTAAACATTTTATCCACCTTAACAAGATGGTTAATGTACAGTGCCAGATCAGAGGATACAATACCTTCAAAAAGATCGTGGCCAAGACATGGAGGCAACCCTGGCTGACATACATGGAAGTATTTGAGCGTATTGAACACAGAGTCAAATTTAACACCTCCACTAGATGTAGACTGTCCTTCACTGCTCTGAACATGACCACTGTATGACTGCACTGTGCGTTTTGTGCCCTGGATAAGAGGATCTGCATGGAATGCTTCTCTGCTGATATCACAATATCTGCAGAAGTGTGAACTCCTGCTGAAGTTCTCCACAAAGCCACCTATGTTATGTGAGCCTAGGTTGTCGCCTGCAATGGCACACAAAGTTCCCTTGTAGACCTTTCCATCAGACAGGGTAACACCATTGAGCTCAAGATCTTTAAGGTCATTGACGAGGGTGCCCATAACCAAGTCTTGACCAAAATACTTAAAATCGTGTTCTTTACAGAGAAGAACAAGTTGCATTTGATCAGTGCTGGATCTGTTGTGTGGCATTAAATCTGCAAGAGTTAGATACACTGCAAGTATCTTGTGTTTTTTCTTTCCAGATCCCAGTGGGTTTACCACTTCAAATGCATCCTGATACAGGATCAAGCTCAGTGATGAGCTCTCCGTCTGGAAGAGAACATTCTCAGCCATATTTTTGCCATCCCACACATCCCTAAGAATATCCTTAGAACCAATACTGGAGTGTACTTGCTTATATTGTTCCTGCACTGATTTGCAATGGAATAGAGAATCAATTGTCTGTTTAATAGGAACATACTGGGCAAAACACTCTTTGCCTGCCTCATTCTGACCTAGACAGATCTGAACTGGCTCAACATAGTTGAAGCTGTTCTTGAAAACTGTTTTTCTTTTCTGATCAGTTTTCAGTGGCTGAGTGTTGCAGGTCCTAAAGAGATCCTCAGTTTTAATGACTTCAATCACATTGTTTGTGTCAGGTTCAGAAATACCAAGTGTAACCAACTTCTCTTTTAGTTTGAAAAGCAAATGCGACTGGCTTATATCATGTACTTCCTGAAAATCTTCAATAATTGTTTGGATGACAGAAGATGGAAGCAAACACTTTGCTTGCAATTTCAAATAAAAAAGGGCTAAATTTTTAAAGAACTGTGATTCATCAGCAATTTCTGGGTAAATCTCTTGTTCATCACCTGCATCACTGGGAGGCTCAATCTGCATATCAGACTGATCTTGTTCACTCTCATGGGAAACACCAGGATTCACAACTGACTCAACCAAATTTTCCTCAGCACCATTTTTATGTTTCCGACTCATGTGTGATGTGAATGTTGATAAAACTGTAAAGCTCTTGCTACAGTGTCTATAAGGACAAGCGACTGTTTTCCCCTCTCTAATGTGTGTTTTCAAATGAGAGTAAAATGCAGTCAAAGTCTCACACCTTGCACTGCAGATATTAACATGACATGTTAGTTCAACACCAGACAAAGTAGGCCTAACTACACGTTTGTTATGTCTGTAAGTGTGACACTTAAACGTTGAAAAGTTTTTAAAATTCTGACTGCAATCTGGCAAAACACACTTAAAAGTTAAATTAGGTGTATTTTTATGAATTCTCATGTGCCTTACGTATGTCACTATTGTGGCACAGTTATGACAACAGATCTGACATGGGAACATTTTGTTACTGCCTGATTAGTCTTGATTACGGCTGGCTGCTTTTTAGTGACACCGTATCAGTCTTCACGGAGAAATGTTTAATCTTAACCGAGTTGCAATGTTAAAATTGTGAAAGAAAAGCCACAGATGATGCAAAACGGTTTGAGAAAGCTAAAACAGTTGGGAGATGTAGTCTGTGTGGAGACACGCAGCAACAGATAAATCAAATGCATTCAGAAAGGCAATATTTTCACATTCATTTTCCGTTTAAACAGAAAAATGCAAAGCCTTGAGGATTCAAGTGTCTCTCTTTAACCGATCTAGCTTAATTTTCTTGTTAGATGTTTGTAAAACACAATAGGCTACATTAAAAGTCGACACAAAATAAATCTCACCAAAACCATCTCGGTTATAGCCGATGTTCCAATAATCGTATGGTCTGGTTGAAATAAATCCTCTTACCGATTAACAAGTGTTATTCCTCGGATGCAAACGTTCGGCTAATGTTACCAAAATAAAAAAATAAAAAAAACACCCAAAAGTATGGTCATTCAAATCTAGCCCTCACTGATAAATGACATGTTCAAATCCCTAGCTAGACAAGCTCCTGAGCATCAGTTTGATATCAAACATTCGTGGCAATATGAATACGATTTAATTACCGTTTAATTTGTAGATCCAAGACCCGATGGATGTTGTTGATGAAGAACACTCGATGATGTGTTGCATGCACGTCATCTAAATTGTGCGTCCTCTTCTGGAAATGATGGTTCCTGAAGTCCCGCAGGAGTTGATGGCAAATTATTTCTGTATTTTATAAAGACAATTTACCAGAACAAAAGTAGTAGCCTCAATGTAAAAGACTAACGTTGTATCAAACTTCTGACCGTGCTCCAAATTCCCCAGTCACTCAGTTTCTAAAAAAAATACTGTAGTTTCCTGTAATTTAAAACATCAGCATACTGTTTAGGGCCTCTGTCCTGTTTCTCCAAGTTAAGCAGCCCACAATGCATTGCTAACTACAGTACTAAACTGTTTAACATGAAAACTATTTTAGTGTTGAAAATTGGCCGTAAATTTACAGCAATTGCTTACAGTGCATCTTCTGTTATGTGGGCCTCCATGTTCATCTATTGTACAGTATATGATATTGGTGGAGGGTGGTGGGGGCCCACATCAATATTTTTTCAGGGGCCCCGAATCCTCTAGCTACGGCCCTGACCATAACTATGCATTTAGGTGAGTGGACAGAGGCAAATAATGAATGAACACAAAAAGAATGGTTGGATAAATCAAACAATTTATCGTCGTCAGGAAATAATGTTTTATCTTATCATTTAACCCATTGTACTGTATAAATTGACTAAGGTATGTTCACTGTCGTGTAAGCCCCTATAAAAATAATTATAATAAGTAAATTTGTGTAGTGCAAGGTTTATGCAAACAACAAATAAAGGCCAACATAAACTTTTGACATCCACTTATAGTAGGAAATCATGTTTTTTTTTATTGTAAGGAGCAACGGTGGATATAGATTCTTAAATTATGGGCTTTAAAAAACATTTCTTAATGTGTCATACATCATTTGAAAGATATTTCTAATCTATAAATTGCAACAAACTTGTAATTAACACTTAAATTTAAAATGTTTAAGTTATTCTTAGACATTTTTGAAATAGTAGTTTTAGCCATTAATTCTCAGGAATATGTTGTATTTCACATTGATGTGAAATTCTATTGAGGTATAGAGGGTTAACTGAAATTATAAGATTTAAAATGTTGTCCTCCTGGCCTGCAGGCAATTTCTGATGACAGTAAGGCAGGACCTAGTCAGTCAAGTAAGGATCTGCAGGAGGGCAGCCACAGTAGAAAATATGTTGTTGTTATTTTATTTTATTTTATTATTATTTTTATTTTTTGCACATAGGTTCTTTGCTTTTTTGCTCATAATGATAGACTTTTTATGCTGAGATAAGCAAATGTTTAAATAAAACATACTTTGCTGAAGACATGAAGTTTTGGTGGGTGATTGGCATACTAGTCAAATAACAGTCTGATCATGCATTGCTAGTGGTGATCAGGTAGGCCTTTGTTTACCTTTGTTCATTGTTGTTTATCCATGATTTCAAATAAGAATGCCCCAATGGCTTTTTAGTGCAAATCATTAACCCAAATTACGCAAAGTAACTACTTGAGCACTAGTTAAAGCCCAAATTACGCAAAATAACGAATTGAGTTTAAATAATTTGCTGACAGCTTGGTCCCCCCCAGTTAAAAAATCCTATCTGCGCCACTGGGACAAGGACATGGTGGCCCTTTAGGAGAGGAAGGAAGAACCGCAAGGCGTTCTCGACCGCCTTCATCTCTAGACAGTTTATGTGCAAGCGCTTCTATTGGCTTATCCACAGGCCAAAAGTCGGTCTGCCCTCGTAGAGCGGGCTCCAGCCCGAATTGGAGGCGTCTGTCGAAACCACTTTCAGTTTCGAGATTAGCCCCAGGTTTACACCTGTCTGATACCAGCCGACCGCCTTCCAGGGCCCCAGAGCTGTGACACAGTTCTGAGTTATCTTGAGACGTAAACGACCGGATGCCCATGCTCGATGCGGGACCCGCGTCTTTAGCCAGTGCTGTAAAGGACACATGCGAAGCAGGCCTAAACGAAGCACCGCTGAGACTGAAGCCATGAGGCCTAGAATCCTCTGAAATCTTTTGAGAGGAGAGACATCGCCTACTTTGAATGACATCGCCAGGCGCTGAATACACAGAGCGCGCTGTGACGTCAGCCTCGCTGTCATTGAGTCCAGATCCATTCTGACTGGGAGATAGCGAACTCTTGGTCCAATTGACTTTGAGGCCCAGAGCCTCTAAATGGCTTAGTAATAAAGCCCTGTGTGTCATAAGTTCCACCTCTGACTGGGCCATAATTGACCTATGGCTAAGCCACGCCCCCTCCACTCACCTGGACAAACAGTCAACATTCGGTGACAGGCGCTATGGCAGGATACATTTCACAGGAGGCAATTGATGATTTTTGGAGACAAAAAGATTATATATCATCTCGAAGTCACCAAAAGGGCCTCAACTATTCATTGGAGGGTTATATTAATAATTTAATTGTTGAGAAGGTTGATGAAAAGCTTCAGCTCCAGGCAAAAATTTACAGGTCACAGAGTAAACGTGATAAACCGCATCTCGTTGCCATCACCATCTCAGACAACAAGATAGAGGATCAGCATTGTTCATGCACTGCAGTGTTTACATGAATCTTTCAGCACAACATTGCTAACATTTGTTATCTCGGTTATTTAAAGATACGTTAATGAAACTAAATGACATGATGTACAACGCAGCTAGAAGCTAACGTCAACGTTTTCTAATGTTAGGCTAACGTTAGCCTAACGTTACGTTAGAGATGTTAAAGATAACGTTCAAATACGTTGCTGACTTAGAACAGATGTAGACATCCTTGTTTAATTCTTGTTTAATTTATCCACGTTTAGTTGGTGTTGTGGTCTACCACATAACTTTATCCAGAGCAGATACTTATCTCGGTTGAGATGTGGCTTGGGAAAGGGTAAAAAATACACACCGTCGCCCTGCCTCTCGGGATACCTAGTGTCGGAGTTCCAAGTACCCCATGCACATCGTTTGACCATTTTAAACTTAAAATGACAAGAAAAAACAGATAAAAACGAATGAAAACTGACTAACTGCAATGCATTTCAATGGACGTGGAAGCAGAGAATGTCCGAGTGTATTGGGTTAGCTATGCGCACTGTGATTGGCTCATTGCGTTTGGGGGCGTGTCTTAGCCATAGGTAATTTAGCCAGTCCTCCAAATGGTTCAGTATTCGCACACCCTGTTGTTTCAGGGGGGCGAGCGCTGCGTCCATGCACCTCGTAAATGTACGAGGTGCTAAGGACAGGCCGAACGGAAGGACGGTGTACTGGTAAGCCTGACCCTCGAAGGCGAATCTTAAGAAAGGCCTGTGACGGGGGGCTATTTGTATCTGAAAATAAGCGTCTTTCAGATCCACTGATATAAACCAGTCTCTCGGCCGAATTTGCGCGAGAATTTGTCTGGTTGTAATCATTTTGAACGATCGCTTCATGAGAGCTCTGTTCAAAAGCCTGAGATCTAGAATGGGTCTGAGACCACCATCCTTCTTGGGTACCAGGAAGTAATGGCTGTAGAAACCCGACTCGCTCTGGTCTAGAGGGACGGTTTCTATGGCGCCCTTCAAGTACAGTTTCATTATCTCGGCTCGAAGCAGATGAGCTACTTTCTGATCTACTGTAGTTTCGACCCGGGCTCGAAAGCGCGGGGGTCGGCGAGCGAACTGCAGTGAATAGCCTCGTTTTATAATGTTCAGCACCCACGCCCGGGATAGCTTCCCATGCTTTTGCACGTATAGCTAGGGGTAGAATGGTATCTGGGCTCTGGTCACTGTAAGCTAGGGACCCGGAGACCTGATAGGGCTGATAAATTGACACTGTGCTTGCAGTGTTTATCTGAGGCAGCGCGCTGAGACCAGCAGCGGGATAATTTACACATAACATTCTGGTCACGTGGGCCGGGGAATGATTTATGTGTGTGTGCGGCACAGAGGGCGCAGTGTTTAACAGTAAGCGTGCGTGCTGAGAAGCGGGCACCTTCTTTACACTTAAAACACAATCGGCATGAACCGCCTTTATTGAAATAGGCCCTGAATGAGTGTGTGTCACTGAATGGGCCGTGCTTATGTGCAGGGGTGAACACTGGGACGTGGGCACATTTCCTACATTCAAAACACCTTCGGCGAGAGCCGGATAATGCTCTTTTTGAGATTTATCTGGGTCGCCGTGAAAACGGCGTTTGGGTACAGGCAAGCGGGTTGCGCAACTGGCTCGTTGGCTGTAGAATACAAATCTCCAGTCACCGCAGCCGCGGGAACTGTGAGAGCGACACGTGCTGATTTCAAAGGCGGTCCGGCCGCAGCGGGACTCGACCTTCGGCGTCTTCCTAGAGTCAGGAAGACTTTGGTGGCACAGGATCCAGCGTGATCTTGGGCCTGGGTCCCCGAGGAGGGGGCGGGCAGGGCAGGGCACGGCCTGGGCAGCCGAGCTCGAGCGTTGGCGCTCTCTTGGTCGATGATGCTGAGAAGCTGGCGGCGGAGGCGGTTTTCCGGGGAGGCTGTTTTCCGGGCAGGCGGCTATTTCATAGAGTGCCGTGAGGGAGAAAGCAGCTGTCGAGTCTGTTGGGCGCGGGCTCATCGGGCAGCGACCAATCCAGGCCGAGGTCCTCCACGGCCTTCGTAAGGAGGCGGAGAAGTTTGGCGTCGACGCTGGCTCTAACCCCACTGGACTCCTGAAGAGAAGGGGTGGGGACCGGAACGGAGCCCGACCACTCTTCACTCCCCGAGGCGAGGCGATGGGAGCGGCCGAAGTCGGGCGCTGGCTATCCGTGAGTGAAACGGGGGAAAGCGAGGCACGCGGGGAACCCGCCGGCGTGCACTCGTCCAACGGACCCTCCTCAGGTGGCCTCTGAGAGCGGCGCTTCTTACGGCGCGGCGCAGAAGAGGGAGGCGGAGGCGCGGAATCCACATCAAAAATGGCTAGTCGAGCCCGCATGGTCGACAAGGCCATGGTGTCGCATTTAGGACATCCGCCCTTGGACAGCGCGTGGTCCCGGCCCAAGCAGGAAGCGCACAGGATATGGCGGTCCCCGTTGGCGAGGGGGGCTCTGCACGAGCCACAGGAAACACGAGCCGTTGCTGCAAAGGCGTTGCGGCTCTTTTAGACACAAGAACGTGAGTGTCGCAGCGCCGAACACACATGGAGCGTGAAAGGATATAGGCGCCGGATAGCGCAGCAGGAACAGCGACTGAAGGCAGCGAGAAGACGACCGGCTTCCTCAGTGAACTCGTCACGCTGAAAAGGCTGTTCGACGGCGCAGGCTTCTTCTCCAAGATCCAGCGATGTGAAGACTTCGCTGAAGAGATGAAAATCAAGGCGCATCCTATTGAGCTCTGGCTTATATAGGCATAAACCACGCCCATTCGCGCGGGACGTGACGACTGAGGGCGACAGTGCCCTCATTGGTGCTTACGTCACGAGCAGTCCCTCGATAGGTTGCAGCAGTTGCCGCAGAGCAGCCAATAGGCGCGCGAGCTGCCTCGCCTAGGTCTGCTCGCTGCAGCAAATGCGTTTTAAATTAATACAAAATTATAAGGATAATTTTTGGCTTCAGTATTCTCGAGAAAAGAGGTTTTCCCATAGCGTAAGCTAGCTTACGCAACACGAGAGTACTCTCGTAAGAGAACTATGGTTGATGAAAACTATGGTTTTCATCTCTTCTTTTTACAAAATGTCCTAACCGCAACATTCCAATAACGTTAAATTTAAACACTTTTCTTCTTTAATTTCTATAAAAAAATATACATTTACACAGTTACTTTCAAGATTTGTCCATTTTTGTAAAAACTAATATTGAAAAGTTATTTAAAATTAGGGGGTTTTATGATTTTCTTTATTCTGTGGAAAATGTTGATGTTAACCTTAGATATCAATTGCTTTGATACACGCCAAAGATAAAACATTTAGCTTTTTTATGACAAATCTTATCATTTTAATGTGTAAATCATCTCTACTGAAGTGTTAAAATAATTTTTGCAAACAAAAATCTGATTAATAATTAAAATAAATCATTGCTGCGGTAATGGCAGTTTGTATTGGTAAGGACACAATGTTAATGGCACATGTTAATAATGTAACCTTAACAATAGGTTACTGTAGAGAAAAAAAGTAACAGACAAAAACAGAAGGTATTTTGTCAAAGATAGTAGTGGTATTGCAGTAAAGACTGGGACAAACTGATTTTCTTGTTTCAAATACTAATACATGTGTGAATTTCTTTTGTAACAACAAACTTAATTTGAGGCCTTCAGTATTTTGTATGAATTTGTATGAATTTGAATACATGTATACATGTATTGAATACATGTATTGTATCAATACATGTATGAATTTCTTTTGTAACAACAAACTTAATTTGAGGCCTTCAGTATTTTGTTTTGTCCTCTGGTTTCTTTTGTTTATCCTCCACTGTCTTTTTTTTTTTTTTAATGCTCTTTTTCCATGACTTTTCATATCTGTTTGGGTCTTTTCTCATTACCCCTCTTCTGTCATCTTATTGTAGGTTAATCTGGTATCATCAAGGGTTGCAAAAATAACATGTTTATATTTAGTTTACAATAGATTTAATATTTGCAATATACACTGATCAGCCACAGCATTAAAATGACCAGCCTAATATCATGTAGTTTCCCCTCATGCTGCCAAAACAGCTCTGATGTCAAGGCAAGGACTCCACAAGACATCCGTATGTGTCCTGTGGTATGTTGAGAGGTGGTGCCTCCATGGATCAGATTTGTTCATCAAGCACATCCCATAGATACTCAATCGGATTGAGATATGGGGAATTTTGAAGCCAAGGCAACGCCTAGAACTCTTTGTCATGTCCCTCAAACCCTTCCTGAACAATTTTTGCATGTGGTAGGGTGCATTATCCTGCTGAAACAGGCCACTGCCATCAGGGAACACCATTGCCACGGTCTGCAACAATCTTAGGTAGGTGATACGTGTCAAAGTAACATCCACATGAATGCCAGGACCGAAAGTTTCCCAGCAGAACATTGCCCTGAGCATCACACTCCTTCCACTGGCCTGCCTTCTTCCCATAGTGTCTCTTGGTCGGGTGGTCCAGTTCTGACACTCACATGCCCATTGGCACTTTCGGTGGTGGACAGGGGTCATCATAGGCACTTTGTCCGGTCTGCTGCAAACCAGCAAACTGCTATGCACTGTGTTCTGACACCTTTCTATCATGGGCAGCATTACGTTTTTCAGCATTTTTTTGAGCTACAGTAGCTGTTTTGTGTGATTGGACCAGGCAGGCGAGCCTTTGCTCTCCATGTGTGAGTCTTGGAGTGCATGACCCTGTTCACCGGTTGTCCTTCCTTGCACCTCTTTTGGTAGGTACTACTACAGACCGTAAACACCCCACACGTGACACGACATGCTGTTTTGGAGATGCTCTGATGCAGTTGTCTTGCCATCACCATTTGGCCCTTGTCAAAGTCACTCAGATCTTTTCACTTACTCTTTTCTCTGCTTCCAACTCAAGAAATTCAAGAACTGACTGTTCAGTTGCTGCCTAATATATCCTCTTGACAGGTGCCATTGTACTGATATAATAAATTATATTCACCACACCAGTGGTTTAAATGTTGTGGCTGATCAATGTAATATACAGTATAAACCTTGAATTTGTCTCTACCGCAACACAAAGTCTTTACCACAATAACTAAAAATGCTGCGGTAAAGACATTTTTGCTAATGTTGCAGATAATTGGCAGCTAGCAAGGTCTGATACATCAGTTTTGACTTTTAGCAACAAATATATATGTATTCAACAGTAATATAAATTAAATTTTAAAATGTAATTCAAAATACACAATTACTAAGCTGAATGGTAAGGACGCACAATAAATACTCAAGAAGAAAAGATTATCTTTATCTTATTTTTTCTGGATCTTGTGAGTAACCTAATGGAGGTGGACCAATCTGTCAGACATGTGCTCACATGCTAATTTCTGTTACCATATAAAACTAGATTTGTTTGGTTTTGAACAAATGTCATATTAAGAGTCTTTTTTAGTGTTGCATTAAGGACTCAAAAGTGTGGGACATGCAGGTTTATCTAGATGAAAAAAAAATCATATAAACAATCAGTAGCCTAAACAAAAAAAATAACTTTAATATGGTGTAAAGTCATATGTAAATAAAACTAATTCATTTGAAATAATGTCATACTGTAAAAGAATGAGCTAATTTTAAGTATCTCAACATTGAAACCACGGGTGTGGGACATGAGCAAAAATGGTTTTTGGACCTTTAAATGCTTCATAATTTTACATTAAATCATATTATTTATTAATTATTTTTATGTCAAGGTGTGTATTGACACTACGTTTATTTATGAAGCATCAAATGACAAATTTTAACTTAAATCTAAAATTTCACTACTGGGACTAAAAAGTGCCCTACCTCAGTACAGTAGGTGGCGATAATGCTCCTAAGGAGTTAATCGCCATTAAAACAAGAAGAAGAAGAAGCAGCCATAGGCAGCAGCAATTGGTGGCGGTAATGCACCATTTCGTTGTGTGCCAATCGCCAATAAAATTCCATAAAGAAGAAGAAGAAGAAGAAGAAGAAGAAGAAGAAGAAGAAGAAGAAGAAGAAGAAGAAGAAGAAGAAGAAGCAGCAGCCAGAAAATCCACAGAAGAAGGTCCTGTGCGATGTCGATTCCTCTTTTACTGTCTATGGCTGATTCATAGCTTGTTATGGCGGAAGGAAGTAACGTTAGTTTGATGCGCGAAGAAAAGCTACTTGAAAACGTGCCTGCTTATGAATTCATTAACGTAAACTCAAACGAGTTTCATATTGGCACGTTTAGAGCTTTATGGCTGGATGTGTTAAATCCGGAGGTGTATTCATACTGTAACTCAGCCCCAGAGATTGAGGATGTGGAGTTCATTGAAGAGATGGGCATCGAGCCCAAGACATTGGATGAACTCAAAATCATCTGCAGGTATAATAGAGAGATTAGTATTTTATTTCAGTTTTATTTATTTTATGACATATAACGTTACTGTCTTCTCAGTGTTGATTCCCTGCGAAGTGGACATGAAGACGCAGACAATGTGCCATCAGATCCTCATCTATCCACACTGAAGTAAGTTAAAGTCTCCGGTCCCAGACCGCAGTAAAGATAGTTAGTTGTTTGAAATACAGATAACTTATGGCAATAAAAACGCAGTGCGCTGTCATAGACATGAAAATTATTTCACATATCATTCTTCATGATTTGTGAATTCAGTTGACGCGGTTCTCCGATCCGAAATCTTTTTTTTTCATAGTGACTCTTAATTTTATAGTTATTTTTATCCTACTAAGAGAAACAATGTGAAGTTGACCGTTTAGTCAGTAGTTTGATTTACTGACACAGAAACAGCAATAAACGATTTTGAGACTAAAGAACACCTGACTGTACATGAATCATTACATATTAGAAATCACTGGTCACTACCCAGATAGCACACGTACGTCTGCAATGTGTCTGTTAAAGGGTAACTAAACCCCTGGTCAGAGCCTGACTCCACCCACTGGCAATATTTGAAAAATGCTGAAAAAATGGGCAGACTCCAGCGGAGATAGAGCTGGTAAGTCCCGCCCCTTCCGCTTACCCCGCTGGACCTCTAGGTTGAAAAATCGTCAATGCAAGTGAATGAGAGAAAATAATTATTTTCTAATCCCGTTTGAATTTTGCAATGAATGTGAACATATGTTGTCTGTGAATTTTTAGGTGTTCAAGCACGAAGTGCTGAAAACCTATTGTATTTGTGCTGATTTTTATTATTAGGTGTTCAAGCACGAAGTGCTGAAAACCTATTGTAATTGCTATTTGAAAAAAAAAAAAAAACCTAAAACGCATCGTGCAGCCCAAACCGTAAGGCCTAGAGATTTGAAACCTGGCCAGGTGCTAGGGCCTCAGTTTGGGGAGAACCTATCAGAGTATGACCCCGATTGGCCCATAGGTGGCGCTACAGCAACCAAAAGTACTAAATTGCCCATAACTCATCGACCGTTTGACCTAGAATCTAGATTTGTACACCACTGTGTCCCTTGGCTCAAGACGGACAAGATGTATATCTCGGATTCTCGATTTGAGCAAAAAAAAATTTGTTATGGCCAATTTTGTCCAAAACCTACTTTTGCGAACTAGTCCCTGGTTTTTTGCCTGATCGGAACCAGACCAGTCTAGGACAATTCTATGGACTCTCTAGATCAATAATTATCAAAAAAAAGTTGAACTTTGCCCTTTGGTTCACTGTAACAGGGTCGTTTAGAAAAGGGGGCGTGTCAAAATACACTCAAAAGCCTATAAATCATAAATAAAAACTCAGAACTTCACAAAAATTGATGAGCACATGTGTCATAACATGGTGAAGAAGCATGCAGAGTTTCATGGAGATCGGACCATAGGTGGCGCTATAACTGTCAAAAAGGTCCCCTATTATTAGGTGTTCAAGCACGAAGTGCTGAAAACCTATTGTAATTGCTATTTGAAAAAAAAAAAAAACCTAAAACGCATCGTGCAGCCCAAACCGTAAGGCCTAGAGACTTGAAACCTGGCCAGGTGCTAGGGCCTCAGTTTGGGGAGAACCTATCAGAGTATGACCCCGATTGGCCCATAGGTGGCGCTACAGCAACCAAAAGTACTAAATTGCCCATAACTCATCGACCGTTTGACCTAGAATCTAGATTTGTACACCACTGTGTCCCTTGGCTCAAGACGGACAAGATGTATATCTCGGATTCTCGATTTGAGCAAAAAAAAATTTGTTATGGCCAATTTTGTCCAAAACCTACTTTTGCGAACTAGTCCCTGGTTTTTTGCCTGATCGGAACCAGACCAGTCTAGGACAATTCTATGGACTCTCTAGATCAATAATTATCAAAAAAAAGTTGAACTTTGCCCTTTGGTTCACTGTAACAGGGTCATTTAGAAAAGGGGGCGTGTCAAAATACACTCAAAAGCCTATAAATCATAAATGAAAACTCAGAACTTCACAAAAATTGATGAGCACATGTGTCCTAACATGGTGAAGAAGCATGCAGAGTTTCATGGAGATCGGACCATAGGTGGCGCTATAACTGTCAAAAAGGTCCCCTATTATTAGGTGTTCAAGCACGAAGTGCTGAAAACCTATTGTAATTGCTATTTGAAAAAAAAAAAAAACCTAAAACGCATCGTGCAGCCCAAACCGTAAGGCCTAGAGACTTGAAACCTGGCCAGGTGCTAGGGCCTCAGTTTGGGGAGAACCTATCAGAGTATGACCCCGATTGGCCCATAGGTGGCGCTACAGCAACCAAAAGTACTAAATTGCCCATAACTCATCGACCGTTTGACCTAGAATCTAGATTTGTACACCACTGTGTCCCTTGGCTCAAGACGGACAAGATGTATATCTCGGATTCTCGATTTGAGCAAAAAAAAATTTGTTATGGCCAATTTTGTCCAAAACCTACTTTTGCGAACTAGTCCCTGGTTTTTTGCCTGATCGGAACCAGACCAGTCTAGGACAATTCTATGGACTCTCTAGATCAATAATTATCAAAAAAAAGTTGAACTTTGCCCTTTGGTTCACTGTAACAGGGTCATTTAGAAAAGGGGGCGTGTCAAAATACACTCAAAAGCCTATAAATCATAAATGAAAACTCAGAACTTCACAAAAATTGATGAGCACATGTGTCCTAACATGGTGAAGAAGCATGCAGAGTTTCATGGAGATCGGACCATAGGTGGCGCTATAACTGTCGAAAAGGTCCCCTATTATTAGGTGTTCAAGCACGAAGTGCTGAAAACCTATTGTAATTGCTATTTGAAAAAAAAAAAAAACCTAAAACGCATCGTGCAGCCCAAACCGTAAGGCCTAGAGACTTGAAACCTGGCCAGGTGCTAGGGCCTCAGATTGGGGAGAACCTATCAGAGTATGACCCCGATTGGCCCATAGGTGGCGCTACAGCAACTTCACAAAAATTGATGAGCACATGTGTCATAACATGGTGAAGAAGCATGCAGAGTTTCATGGAGATCGGACCATAGGTGGCGCTATAACTGTTAAAAAGCTTTAAAACCATCCATTTCCTATGGTAAATTGTCTGTATTGGCTGTAAATGGTGTTTTCCATCTATTATGTCAGTGGTTAAATGTATGCTAAATAAAACTTAATGTCTTAAATGCTTATGTGCTTAACGGCCTTAAAGGCCTTAACTGCTTGAACACCGCTAAATGCTGCTTGCAGCTTTAATTTTATATATAATTGATATTTAGACTTTATTAAATCATTATTTTAACATTTACAATCACATTTTGTCAAAATTCATCTATTGCTCTGTACTCTCTAGAACAATAATTATAGAAAAATGTATAACTTCATTTGTATGACTATAATAGGGTCAATTCAATATGTAACCTTGACCGAAAGCCAATATCTTTTCAATAAATGCTCATAGCTTCTTAAAAAAAGGTCAAAAACAGCTATAACTGCTTGAAAAAAGGCTAACAGCCAATAAGTGGTATTTTACTGCCCCCTGCTGTTTAAAAAAAGTCATTTTGTCACACTACTCAACTATAAGTAATATTTAGACTTTATAAATTCACTATTTTAACATTTACAATAACATTTAGTCAAAAATCGTCTATTGAAGTGACAATTGAGTCACATTGGCTCCTGAAGTTCCAAATGTCTCTATCTACATCAGAATGAGAGTGTGTAGATTAAATTATATGAAAAACATGGCCTATTGTATAAGTAGGCTGTAATAGCACTGTTGTCCACTAGATGGAGCAGCAGCATTAGATATTTTTAATCTTTTTTTTATCAGCTTTCAGCATTGGCTAACAAACAAATGCTCAAAGCATTTTCTTTATTTAGTTTTATATTATTACATTGCAAAGAAATATGTGAAATGCTCATATACCATTAAAACAGATTTTCACAATAACATATCCCAAAAGTGTGTGTGTGTGTGTGTGTGTGTGTGTGTGTGTGTGTGTGTGTGTGTGTAAGCATGCATTATGGAGTTAACATGAAAAAAATGGTTTGCTTCAGTGGAGAATACTGGAGTAACAAAGTAGTTGAAAATGAAAGTGAGCCAATAAGTGGTCTTCTACTGCCCTCTGCTGGCCACTCTTCTTATTAATAGTCTTTTTTTGTATATAGACACTATAAAATCACTTATATAACAATTACTATTATAACACATTCATATTTTGTCAGAGTTTATCACTTCAATTGTTCTTATGCTTCATATAATTGCTGTCAACGTGGTAAATCATGGTAAATAACGCCAGAAACATGGTAAATCATAGTAAAAAAGGTAAATCATGCTAGAATCCTGGTAAATTATTCTAGAATGTGCTATATCATGGTAAATCATCATATAACATGGTATATCAAGGTAAACTATGGAAAATCATGTTAGATTCATGGTAAATCATACTGGAACATGGTAAATCATGAAAAATCACACTGAAATGTAGTATATCATGGTAAATCATGCTTGCTACATAAAACTTAATTAGGTGTTCAAGCACGAAGTGCTGAAAACCTATTGTATTTGTAAGGATTTTTATTATTATTATTATTATTTTTCTTCCGCCGTAAAACGCATCGTGCAGCCCAAACCGTAAGAGCTGGAGCCTTGAAACTTTGTCAGATGGTAGTACAAAAATCGAGGAGAGGTTATCAAATTATGAGCCCGATTGGCCCATAGGTGGCGCTATAGCAACCAATTGCGCGAAACTGCTCATAACTCCTAGACCGTAAGTCGTAGACTCAAGTGTCTTATATCACTGGAAAGCTGGTCACCTGACGAAAAAAACGTATATCTCCGATTTAATTTCCGCCAATATAGATTTTCCGCCATTTTGAATTTTGTCAAAAAACTACTTTTGCGAACTAGTCCCTGGTTTTTCGCCCGATTGGAACCAAACCAGTGCAGAAATGTTCTCTGGAGTCTGAATATCAATAATTATTGAAAAAAAGTCGAAATTTCGATTTCCGGTCGCTAGGGGGTGCAAAATAAACGTTGTGGGAGGAGCCTATTTTACTAAAATGGCTATAACTCGTAAACAAAATGAGATATTTTTACCAAACTTGCTAGACA